GGGTGAGACTAAAGACAGTCTCAGTACTCAGATCTTCTAACCCTACCCTGTGCAGACATGTCTGCCCTTCCCCAACCCTGGCAGGAGACAGGAAGTTTATTCTCTGGAAAAAACAACAACTATTAGAGGAACAGGCCCCCATCTCCAACATACACACACTCGCTCACTTTGCATTCAGTCTCTAGACAAGGGCTCCTCTTTCTAGTCTGCCAAGTTCCCTATGACATGAAAATGTATGCCCAATAGAAAGAATCAAAATTCTCACTGAGTTCACTGTATTTTTATTGGAAGACTACCACTGAATAATGCTCTGATCTCAAGGTGGCTGAAAAGACCCACTGTGAAGGACTTTCAATGGTCCTGGCTCATGAGTTTGGATTTTATCTGAACAGAGGTCCCAAGCTGTTTTTGAGGCCCAGAACCATGCTCAGTAGACACTGCTTGGCCTGCATAGTTTAAAAACCATTTGTGAATTGTCAATACTTTAAAGTCAAGACATTTCACATGTACAAATCTGTTTCTGGCTTCTCGTGAGAAATCCTAGGATACATTATCTGTGGGCCACATTCCAGGTGCTGATAGCCTGCCCCTTTGAGCCGGTAGATCTCCAGGTGTCACTTCGACCATTTAACATCTTAATTGTGTTTTCATCAGCTTCCTAACCTCCCCCTTACCCCCACAGCTTTCACCTTAGGTATCTGAATTTTCACTTCAGTCCTAAGTAATGCAGAACCATTAAAGAACTTTATAAATAGAAGAGGGCTAGGAATGGTTCTATTTCAGAGCACTCTGGCAACAGAAGAAAGTGAGGGAAGGACAGAAGGGAAGGGATAGGGAGGAGGCACCCTTTAAATGTGGCAGGTTAGGAAACTATTGCAGTGGGACAGATGAAACCTAAACTAGTGAATGGTGGGGAAGGGGCCAGATTTGAGGGGTAAACCTAAGGCTTTGATGTTTAGACCCTCAGTTCTAACGGTGTACCCAGAGCATCCTGAAGGTCAAAAGCTACAGAGTACCATCCCATCCCTCCCCAAGGTGAAGGGCAAAATCCAAAGCAAAATGCAGAAAAAGCTTTCCAGAGAACCTCTGGCTTTAAGATGCATGTCCTCATCAGTAGTGAATAGGCTGTGGTGCTGAAATAATCTCTTCAATAAGAAATTCAAGAAATGCCACCATTGTAGACTGTGTGAGCAGTCCCAAGTGAGTTCTCTCTTGAGGTGGTGCTGGGCTAGTAAAGAACTACCAAGCCTCAAGACTGAGTTCCTAATTAGGTGACCTTTAAAAAATAAAAACATCCTTTGCTGATCAAAGTCAGCTGCCCCTCATCAGAGGCGCCATTCTCTTCAGCCATCACATAATCCTCCATAAAAATGATTACAGATCCTTTTTTGTTATGAAGCAAAAGGGTAAATGCTATCTGTTAGATCTTCATTTAATTGACAGTACGTTCCAAGTGGGTACTTTGAAACATGATAAGATTTGGCCTATACATAAAGAACTCAAGTGACTCACTTGCATTTTGTGTCAAATAAATGGCTATTTTTAAAAAACAAATATTAAAAAACCCCAAATGAAAATATTATTCTGAGCAATCCATGTCCTAAACCAGGAGGTACATTTTTTTGAGAACATAATCTAATTTTACATCATGCTGCAAGATATTTGAACCAAGTACAACTTGGAAACACCTTTTCATGGCCGGGTAAACCCCAGGTCAGAAACTAAAGGAATATGACTCTCAATAATAGTCATGCTGGATGGGGCTCTGGTACTCACACTTCCACTTTCAGTGTTCCAGTGTGTCCCTCCTCCCCTATGACCAGTTCACCACAGGATCGATCTCTTTTCTCTTCCTGATAAGAGCAAGGACCATTTTTATAGAAGTTGAGACCTCTCCAAGTAGCCTTCTACTGTGACAGAGCTTGACTTTGACATCATCATGGAGGAGGGTAGAAAAAGGTGTTCTTCCTCTCAAAGTCCCCAAGGACAGAAGAGAATAAACAGAAATAACTATTAATAAATGTTCCACCACCTGCTAGCCATATGACTTTGGAAAAGTCATTCTCCTTCTGTTTAAGGTTTCAGTCTTCTCAGCTATAAAAACAACATAATTATTGTTAAGATTAAACAGGATAATATGTAAGTATATGGAATATGTGATCTGGTATTCTGCAATTACGTCTGTTCAGAGTCCACATTCTTAAAAAATAATAAAAAATAAGGCTAATAACAATTATCGGAGGTTTAAAAGTTTTTAATCGTTTTTTTAAAATTGATTTTTAGAGAGGGAGAGGGGAGAGGGAGAGAGAAACATCAATGTGAAAGAGAAACATCAATCAGTTGCCTCCCATACACACCCCAAAAGGGGGACTGAACCCTGCAAACTTCTGGTGTGCAAACCAGCACTCCAAGCAACTGAGGCACCCAGCCAGGGCTAAAAGATTATTTTAGAGGTTTTGCCTTTTTCTTTCTTTTCTTTCTTTGTTTTGCCAGTTAATACTTCTGAAATTAGATCAGTGGTTCAGGCTCAGTAGAAGTGCTGATGTCAGGCCCCACCCAAAGCTTACTGCTTCAGAACCCCGGGGGGCCTGGCAGTTCCCCAGTCAAGAACCCTTTATTTTAAAGGTTGATAAACAATGTTAAAGTACTGTTAATGCAAATGTAGACAGGCACTTCTTATTAATAGACAGTAAAAAAAGTATAGGTAGTATAATACAACTTGATTTTGTGTATGATTTTAAAATCCATTAAGTGTTACAAAGCCACTTAAAGAGTTCTGACTAGAAAGATTTCTAGTAAGAAATGGAGCAAAATATGGCACTATGGGAGTACTGCAAGGGTTTGTAACCTGCTGATATTATTTGCAATCTGTGTTGACATGTGTCTGTTTTCAGGGGAAGAAAAAACATTCAAGCGGGTTAAGATTATGAACCCTTGTTACTACTTTTAATACTGAACTAACCTTTAATTGAAAATCTACTCAATTCTATTACAAGTAGGGCAAACTGATGCAGCATAGCTTATAGTATAAACCTTAATGTCAAACTAGATCAGAGCCCTGGTTTCACTTAATGCACTGGTAGTACTTGGGCACTGGGCTGGCTGCTTAACTTATCTGGATCTCAGTTCCTGCACCTCAGTAAAGTGGAAATGACAGTGCCTTTTTCACAGAGCTGTTGAGTATTACATGAAAAAATTTAAAAAACTATAAGCCATCATCGAAACGTTAATTATTGTTTAATACTCATTTCAAAACCTAGTACAACTGTAATGTTTGCAAAAAGAAAAACCAAAATTCATTGATGTGAATTTTTATACTATATCTAGAAGCAATATTTGACATTAAAAACTTAATTTTTGAAAAAGAATCCACCATTGCAAAGCAGTTCATGTTTACAAGGATGTACCATTATCACACTTGATTCCCTTGCTCTTATCCATCTCTCCTGTAAAATCTTCCTGCCAGAGGAGAAGCTGACAGTATTACCTCTTGAGGCTCCTTCCAGATTCATGGTCTATGTAGTTCACCATGACATTACAAAATCTGTTTCCCCACTTACTTCCTTGGCACGATGAGAACAAGGAAGAGAGAGAAATCAATGTGTTTAAAGCAATTCCTATCAAAACGAAATATAAGATTAAGGACAAAATACTCAAGGTTGGGATCACCCTGATAAAAAGCCAAAATAGCTGTTTAAGAAAAAAGACTGACTTATCTATCCTGGAGAGACCACTCATTCATAATAAACAAGAACAGAGGGGAGAAATCAATTAGCAGGCGATCTTTGGCTGACAAAGAATGATGATCAAGGAGAGTCCAGCCTAAACACTTCCAGGGTATCTAGGATAAACAAGTGGTCTGTACCCTCCAAAGCAAGTTAAAACCATAACTTGAGAAATATCTAAGGAAAACCTACAATCCAAGAGTCATAGGATCAAGAGAAGCAATATTCTTTATGTATTTAAGCAATTTTGCAAAGAGTTGCTTTAGATATATACTTCTATATCTATATACTGTTTACTAGTTCCAAATTGCGGGAAGAGGCATAAACTTAAAATTTGGATACGTTCACTAAACGAGCAAATATAATAGGTTTGGCCCTGGCCTGGTAGCTCTGTTGATGGAGCATCCTCCCAATACACTAAGGTTGTAGACTTGATCCCCCGTAAGGGCACACACAAGAGTAAACCGATGAATGGTAAGTGGAACAACAAATAGGCCCTTTTTCACCCTCTCCCTCTCTAAAATCAATTACTTTTTTATTTTTAAATAATAGGTCTTTGGAGTGTTTCAACACTTTACCTGATACTACCAGAAGTTGGCGGGAGCATCCTCGGACCTTTGAAAACCTAAATAAAAAATCATCTGTACGGAGTAGGGCCCAACAGTCCAATAACCACCCAATAAACCACACCCTTCCGACCGACCTACTCGCGCTCTGCTGTGACTGCTTCAACCAACACAAACAGAGGCTTTAGCTCGCCTTGAGGCCGTAGTAGATAAGGTCTAGGCGAGAACAAGAGTCCCCGCCCTAGCCTCTAGGCTCAGGAAGCCCCAGGAGGCGCAGGCTTGCAACTAAATAACGGTGTCCCGCGTTCCCAGGTTTTTAGAACGACTGGTCCACCCTTTACCCTGAGAACAGTGGCGGCCGCGCCATTTAAATTCTATTTTCGTCTGACGGTTCTGCCCACCGAATCCGGGTTCGACGTTTCCAGAGCGGACAGCACAGACGTCAGCGTCGGCCACGGCAGGCGCCGCCGCCGCCGCCGCCGGGCCCGCGAGGGGCCGGAGGAAGCAGCGCCAGCCGCGGCGTTCCGGTGAGCGCGCGTGGCTCAGCCAATCGGGTGCTCGCCCGCCCCCCACGACCGCGGCGAGGCTGGCGCTGGAAAGAGGAAGAAGAACATTCGCCCTCCTCCTACCAGCGCGCGGGCGGCGGCGGCAGCGGCACTGGGGTCACGAACTCTGACCTTTCACTGACAAAAACAATAACAAACCCCCCCTTCTCCGCGACCCCGGCGGCGCCCCCGGGCCCGCCCCCGCTTGCACCTCGTCGTCTCTTCTCTCGTCTGCTGCCCCGCGAGCCTGCGGCCCCGGGGCTCCCGCCATCCGCCAACGCCGGGAGCCCGGCCTCCCCGCGCCCTGCCCTCCGCGCCGGGGGCCGCCCGCCGCAGACACGGGACCTGCTTCGAGGCTGCTTTGGCGCCAAATCCTGAGGTAAAATTGAAAAAGGGCCGGGGCGGGGTCGGGCCGGCGGCGGAGGGGGCGGGCCTGGCGCGTGGACATGGAGGCACTGTGGCGGCAGCTGAACCCGACCCTTTTACCTTTGCCACGGGGCGGCGGCGCCGGACGCTTTGCATAGTGGGCCGGGCCGCTCCCCTCCCATTCCCGCCCGCGCCGGGAGCAGCGAGCGGGCTCCCCCTGACCGGCCCGGCCGGCGCGAGGGTGGGGGCAGAGGGGGAATGGCCGCAGCCCCGCCTCACAGTTGGCCCTTCGCCAGCGCCGCCATTTTGTTCTCGATGGAGATGGCTCTGGCTAGGCCGAGCTTCCCTACTCCTCCTTGTTAGCCTCCTCCTCCCTGCAGTCCCTCCTTCCCTCACTCCCCGGCTCCTCGCCCCTCCGCTCCTCGTGTGCCGTTGGCCTCCGAGGCCCAACCGCCGTTTTTCCTGAAGGGGAGGGTAGAAGGCGGGTACGGAGTGCGACCTTGTGAGCGACGGCTTTGCTGACCAATTGGTAGCCAGACAGGAGGGCCGGGGCCTGCGGCTCCGCCCCCGGAGCTCTGCTGATTGGCTCGGGCAGGAGAGGGCGGTCCCCGCGAGGAGGTTGAGTCCTAGTGGGCGGGAGGAGAGGCCGGGGCGCGGCGTGGGGCCCGGGGGCGCGGTCGCGGCGAGAGCGTCGTGGTCGCACGGGGACCGGGCGAGAGGCCGGGTAGCTTCCCCTGGTCTGGAACGCGTCCAAAATGCGTAACATAGAACAATAGGAATAAAGGTGCCGAAGCATCTTGGATCCACGGCGTTGACTGGTGGGAAAGACGTTTCAGAATCTGGACACCTTTTTGAGCTCCTTCCCGTATTTCCGTCGCAGCCGCGGGCGAATCCTCTGAGGCTCAGTTTCATAGATTGTAAAATGGTGAGAATGGGCATTCTTGCCAGGCTGGACATCCTTTCTCAGGATCGCTGAGGTGCTCCACTCAGAAAATGGAGTCCAGGCTACTTTGTAAACTCCAAAGTAATGTAAAAATGGTGTTATTGTTGAAAATGAGATGTAAAAGCACCAGGAGTGGAAAGTTTAAGTGTATTGAGGGCTTGAGAGAACACAGGTGAATCAGGTAATTCTCTTCTTTTTCTTTGAGTAAATGCTTATTTGCTTAGTTTGGGGTACTGGGGATACTTCCAAGAGAACCAGCAAGACAAGGCCTCTGCACTCCTAGAATTGGGGGTTGGGATGAATAAACAAAGAGATGATTTCAGACAGTTGGTAAATTCTGGGGAAGAAATTAAATGAAACTTGATAATGTATTAAAGAAGGCATGAGGAGACATTTAGATTGGGTGGTCAGAGAAGGACTCTGTAAGGAGGTGATGTTTGAACGGGGAACCCAAATTAAAAATGAATAGTCAGAGAACCACAGGTGTAAAGGCCCAGGAGGAAAAGCATTTAGTGTGATTGAGAATAGGACAGTAAGAAACAGTTGTAGGCTGGAAAGTGGTTGAGACTATTTCATTGTTCTTTCTATTATCTCACTTTATCTCCAGGCTAAAGTCTGTGAAATATGGCAAAGGTAATAGAGACTAAATCTTCGACTTAATAAAAAAGAAAGTAAGGAAAATACAGCTAACAAATGAATTGCTGATGAATATATTACTGGGGTGGAGAGCCTCAGAAAGTGACTTCCAGTTTCAAATCCTTTGTCCATCCATCTTCAATTCAGCAAGCCCATATCTCCATGAATACCACAGGATCTAGGTGCTAGGCTGGGAATACAGAGATGATTGAGACACTGATCTATATCCTCAAGTATATGTGAATGTGATTCTATACACAGAGTTTTGCTTTCTCTCTTTCAATCCCTCCCTCATATATACATGTACATGCACACATAAAATGTTATAAGCAAAAGCTAATTAGTGTGTTGGTTAACAGTGCCAACATTTACTAGCTGTGTGACTTCAGTTAAGTTACTTAACTTTTTTGAGCTTTAGTGTTTTCATTTGGACACTAGAACCTTCCTTCTAGAATTGAGGATTAAACTAATTAATGTAGTTGAAGAGCCTAGAAAAGTGTCTTGTGCCCTGGCCAGTGTGGTTGGAAATGTTGCTTCCTAACTGAAAGGTCATGGGTTCAATTCCTGGTCAGGGCACATACCTAGATTGCGAGTTCATCCCTGTTGCAGCTGCAGGTGCGTGGGACCCCACCTGCCCCCAGTCCCAGCGGGGATCCCTGGTCTGGGTGCATGCAAAGGCAACCAATCAATGCTTCTCTTACATCAATTCTCTTTTTCTTCCCCTCTCTTCTCTCAAAAAGCAAATGAAAATGTCCTCAGGTGAGGATTTTAAAAAAAAGGTGCCTTCCATATAGTAAATACTCATAACTGGAGTTATTGTCACTGTGAAGCACTACCTGTCTGATAGAGGTAGTGGGCCAGTTAAAGGATATAAACAATGAAATTTTTAGGCAGCATGGTATAGGGGATTAGAACACTGGGGTTCCAGTTTTGGCTCTTCTGCTTTTGGTTATTCCTTGGCACCCAGACCAAAAATTTAGAAAACAAAGTAGTGGAACTGATAGGACTAACAAAATGTATGGGGTACTTTACAATTTACAAAACTCTTGTACAAGCATTACATTGTTTAAGCCACACTAGACTGATGCAATTTTTAAATAGGGGCTCTCTATTTAAAAACCTTTTAAGATGTTCCATTATTTTCTTAACCCTTTAGCCCTAGCCCCTTGTGCTCTAAACATACTGGCTTGCCTTCACCTTCCTTGACACTGGCTTACCTTAACCCCAGGCCTGAAATCCTCACATGCCCCACCCCACCCCACGCCTTCCCATATTATACCCACACATACCCCAGTTCTGCAGATCTCAGCTCAAGCATCACTTCCTCAGGGTAGCCTTCTCTGATGCCCAATATCAATCTAGATCAGATTCTTTTACTTTACTATGCTGTTTTTTCCCTTATAACCTTTGTCTCACTTTGTAATTATACTCCATTATATGATTGTTTGATATTTTTGTTCCCCCTTAACCATGTGGTAAGCTTTATGAAAGCGGGGATTATTTTGCTCATCATTATATTTCCAGCACTTAGCAGAGTGCTTGACATATTTATGGGGTGAGTGAATTGATAATTTATACTATCACTGATAATCAAGTTGCTTCTCATTAATGGTACCTTTTTGTGTGGGCTTGTTTGGCAATTCAGATAGCAGTGCCAGCAATAAAATGTCTGTTACCATATTTGGATGAATTCAGGAAGTGGTCCCTCATAGACAGATATGGCACTGACTGGAGATATGAATACAGATAAGATAACCCAGGTGAATCTCTTTTTATATTTTGTTTTTATGGTTAGTTTTTTAAGACAAGAAATTTAATAATTAACTGAATTACAAAGTAAATTACGTGAAAGTTAATGAGTTTATGTGGAACTCATTAATAAATAGCCCAAACATAATCATGCCATTTACTTTGAAGAAACAAAGCACCAATGATTCTCTTGAAATTAAAAATACTGGTCATTTTCTCTATCACAAGGATAACAGAGAAGCCTTTAGTAAGTTCGCAGAGAGTTGAGAATTGAAAGTCTCCGTAGTCAATAGTTTTAAATACTTATCTTTCCAAACATAAATTGAGTTACATAACAGAATTATTGAGAATCACCTTTTAATTGCTTTACCAAGGTTAAAAGCAGATATAAAAAAAAATTCACCAAAGGATATGTTTATTAATTTTAGAGAGAGAAGGAGGGATGGGGAGATAAACATTGAAGCAAGAAGTAAACAGTTATCGCACAAGCCACCCAGACAGGGCTAAAAGCAGATTTTGCAGAGTATTTGTTAAGCTTCCACTGGAAAGTCTGGTTAATAGAACATTTTTGTTGACTTATATAATACTGATTTTAAAACTGTTATTTTTAAAACCAGTGATAGTCATACTTTAATTCTTTGGTTTTGGATTTTTTGTATCCTTATGTCAAAATGAGACATCTATTTCTAAGTGTAATACACTTCTTATAGTTGAGTTATTGCTTTCAGATTCCTTTAAGAACATAAAAGTGGCATCTCCTGTACCAATAGTATCTTCCATGTAGTGCAAGTCTGCTATGTGCCAGGCACTGTGTTAGGCCCTTTACATGCATATTTAAGAATTTTCACAATAACCTCATGTGGTTTAGTATCAGAGAGATCAACCTAGTGCTAGAGCCTCAGATCCCAGTGTGTGTGTTTAGATGAGAAAATATCAAGACAGTGGAGATCTTGAGAATATTATGCTAAGCAAGGTAAGTCAGTCAGAAAAAGCTAACAAGTGTATGATTCTGTGGGATATAAAACTGAAACTCAGACACAGACAAACAACAGTATGGTAGTTACCATAGGGAAGAGGGTGGGGGTGGTAGAGGGTAAAGGGGGTCAAATATATGGTGATGGAAGATGATTTGACTATTGGTGGTGCACAATACAATATACAGATCATGTATCATAGTAATGTACCCTTGAAACCTATGATCTTATTAACCAATGTCACCCCAATAAATTTAAAAAATAAAAATTTTAAAAGACAGATATTTTTGAGTATTACATGGGCCATGTAATACATAAATATGGGTATGAATCAGTTGATTGTGAGGGGAAAGGCAGGTTCACCCATTCCTATCAATAAAGACAGAGTTTTCTTGTCCCAGGGCTTGTATATTGTTATTAGAGACGCTTGGCTCTTAAATCTGCCCCTGTGGAGAACATAGTTTAGCTGATTGGGCAACTTACTGGGTATTCAGGTGTTCCCAGTCAGAGCCCAGCTTTCACTGCAGTGGGGTCTGTAGGTACACCTGACTAAAGAAACTCTGGATGCAAAGTTTGGTCAGCTTCATACTTTGTGAGCCTAGAAGAGCTGATTCAGAGTCACCAGTGTTCTCTGCTTCTTCGTTGTTAAAAGAATGATATTGACCTCATTGTAACTGAATTTGTTATAAAACAAATTCTGTATTACAGTTT